ATTGTTTATGATTGAATTGTTTTTGAACGCTTAAAGATTATGAAGTTATAATACCCGTTAATTGATAAAGAATAATATAGAATGGAAATTAATATTGCTGTGAGAATCTATGATCAAAAGAATAAAACTTTTGCAAGTGGTCGTAATTGAAATTAGGAATATGATTTAATCTCTTTAGAATTCGAGGTTAGTAATACAGTCATTCATAGTTCAACTATTCAAAAAGAAAAAACAAAGAAAAAGAAAAATAAGCACCGAGATCTGGCTTATGAGCATCTGGAGCCAACTATTGAACGTGCGCAACAAAATGGTAATTTTTTGTATATTCAATTCATCGTATTAAACTGCTAAATGCAACATTTATTTCCTATTTATTTTATTTTTTATAGCAACTTATTTATTGAACATCTTATCAGTTGTTAAAAATTTAAAAAAAAATTTTCTGGCATTGCAAAACATACATTATTATATTGTATATTAGAATATGAATACTTATTTTTTATAAGCGATACTTCTCACCGCTGACAAGTGTTCTATCTCAGGACCTCGGACTGTACCAAGAAAAAACGAAAAAGCAGGTCATGAACCGAAAAGAAACGAAAAGCGCAAGTCAAATAGTGGTCAGTTCTTTTTCTTTTTCAAATATATGCTTGTAAGCTCTTTTTTTGCCAGTTAGATTGTCTTGAAATTCTGTTGCTTGAACTATATAAGAAATGAAACACTAGTTTTTGAAACACCAATAACATTTGCTGGATGAAATATTTAATGATCCCATTTTTCTTATGACCATTGACCTGCCTCACAGACCGGAATAAAGTGGCAAATCACACTGCACCGCTTTCTGTTATACGGCAATGGAAATTATTACTGGATGGAATTTATTCAGTAAAATGTAAATATAGACTAACTGAGTGAACATTTTCTAATCTTTTAGTGCTGTCTCTTTGGTGGAGAATTTTAACTATTTTGTTCATTCTTACGTTGGTTGTGTCCGTACTTGCTTTTGCTGTAGTGGTGAGCAATTGTGTTAGCGAGCCACGGCGCTGGTTCTTGTCGTCAAAACCGTTCTGTGAAGATTTACAAACAGTACTGAAAAAACATTCAGTTGGTTTAGATTTTGTACCTTTTGATAAATTTAAGATATGAATTTTTATTTATACCATCTTGTCGTTTTTGATCTGCCTAAAATTGTTTAATTTTAGTAAATCCCAAAAGTTAAAATGACAAATTCATAATTTATAGATCTTATTTACGTGCGACTAAATTAAAAAAATTTTTTGGCCTTACAAAACTTTTTGAATTTTGAAAATGATCGATTTTCAGCTTCCATCAACGATTTCTGGCAACTTCTTTTTTTCAATCACATCGTTATTGAAGCCGTATGTTGATGCTATTAGTGAAGCTTGGGAAGAGTTCGAGCAAAAATACAATTTGATTGCTTGTATCAAAGATTCTTATAATTTGTTTTATATGAAATTGGTCTCATTGGGATTATTAGTGCAAGGCTACACAATTTATAAGGTATGTTTTCATTTCTTGATTATCAGTTTAGTTAAATTCAAATGCTTTTTTAATTCCTTGATAACACAAATTAGTCCAAATGTTTTCCAAGTATTTCATGAACATGTTCAAGGAAATAGTGATAGCGTATGCCATGAAGGATAGGTTTTCTTACTACCGAAAAAGTATGAGGCAGTTTACCACTTGTTTTGAATGCGGTTGCATTTTTGTGTTGCGCATAATTTTCTAGGATTTAAACCTTAAGTATTTCGAAAACTTTCTTCTCAATTTCTATTTCTTATAGTACGATAATTTTATGGCTTTTTACGATGCGTATGCTGCGGATGTTGTTAATAATGCTGTGAAAAATATATGGCTTTTAGTGAGGATATTTGGCTTGATGATTGCCGATTTATTGATGCTTATTGTTGGTAAGCCTGATTATAAAATTTTTTTTCTTGAAACAAACGACAGTTTCAAATATAGATAAGGGCAACGAAGTTGTTTTAGTTAGTGTTGAAAGAATTTCATTTCGATCACTTCTTTGGGATCGAAACTTATCAGCAAAAAATTGATATTAAGTTGGCATGATTTCATTGGATTTGGACATTCGTAGTTATACTTAATTATTGTTGACTACTATCAACTATACACCAATGAATATGAACTTGTAATGATGATTGTTTATGATGTCATGACGCAGACAGACAGTTCGGATTTTATATAAGTATTGTTTGTAGACGAAGGTTTCCGTTTCGTTTCATCGATTTTTGAAACGATACTTACATATGCATACAGAAATATTCAGTTGGTGGAAGAATTGTAAAATTGGAGCAAGGTGATATAGAGCGGTGATAACTTTTTTATTTTCTTTAAATGAAGTGATGTTTCTTCCTCTCATGTTTTGCGGGTATTCATATTTCTTTCTATATGTCAGTGGTATATAGAATGGATCCTTATTTGCGGCTGAAAACATGATGTTCTTGAACAGTTTTGTATGTTATTTAGAGCGTGTTTCATTCTTTGGATGAACAAAAAAATAATTTTTCATAATACAGACGGACGCAAGGGAATTTAATAGTCTGAAATCATGTGTTTTTATATGTTGATTTACATTATGATTCCCTTCTCGCAATCTTATGTATCAATCAGTTGTTTGAATCACTTTATTCATAGTATTGTTGAAGTTTGCTAACTAAAAAATTCGGGAGTTAGCATCTGTTGACTTGTTGAATTATGCAGATTTACTTTTTTGTGTATGATTATGGAACACTTTTTACATCATTAGATTTTTAAGAAAGTTTCGAAATGGCAGTTTCAATGTTCTTTGAAATGACAGTTTGTTTATTGAATTTTTTGTTGTACAGAGTATCAATCAAAAATGTCACACTGAATCGAAAAACAAATAAATTTAGAGAACCTTACTGGAAACATTGCTTGACACAAACTGAACTGATCCGAACTGAATCTTGGAGTTCGAATTTTGCAAATGGGGAAAAATCAGTCAACCTTTAAATCCTCGTCTCTTAAAGTGGATTTCTGAGCACATTTCTGTAGTCATCGACTTTTTTTATCACATTCTTTTCTGTTGCGCTATTTCGCAGCTCTCATGACATCTTTTTAGAGTCTAAACAGATGTCCTCACAATCGCCCGCATTTTTTTGAGTCAATTCCATTTTGTTTAAAATCTTTTCTAGCTAACATTGGGAAAATATCAAAGACCCCTCGTTATCAAAACTTGGTACTCGCGTTTTTCTCCCATCTTGTCGGCAGTGCTGAAATTCTACAATTAAGATTTAGAATGAATATCTGGAGAAGCAGGAGGGGGGCATGTACTGCTCTCATCTAATTTGTTTATTTTAAAGCATAGCTTTTGAATTTTGTTTTTCTTTCAATAAGAAATTGTCGATGTACATGTACTCAACCAAAAGTTTATTTTTAGCGATGATCCCTATGATGAATATTCTCATTGTTATGTATTCACAACAAAATACCCGAGCGGGATGGGATGTAAAACTGGATCATCATTTGTATTACTTGAATGAAAAGAAATCGTTGCAAAAATGAAGAGGCATCAGGACGAATTTAAAGAAAAATGTTGAAAATTTCGACAATTTGAACAATCTTTTGGCAAAAAGAAGAGGTCGCAATATACAAAAATAAATGAAATATCATCATGTAAAATAATTTCCATTCACGATTCAAAAAAGAAAACCTATACCAGCACCATGGTGAATGCTGCCAATAGAAATCAATTGCCATATGATAGCACCTCTATAGGACAAAAATAATGGACAACTTTTAAATCATTCAAAAAAAAGAAAAATCAAAAGGAATTAGAATCAACGATAAAAAGACATGATGTTAAACGAGAAAAAATAGTTCTGAAACTTTCGAAGAAATAAAGCGGACTTCATGAAATTCTAAGGAAGAAACAATAAATATGACCAGACTCCGAAATATGTTATATTTGTTCTTCACAAAAAAAGATGTAGAAAGAATAATTTGATAATTTACAAGTAATTTTGTACCTATAGAAACATTAGATATACATATGAACAATTGATAGGTGGACATCTAAAAGCTTCAGATTTTAAATCGATCATTTAAGCATTCGTAGGCTTTTTTGTTTCACTGCTTCAAGGAAGCTTTCGAAAATTTAGGAAAAGAAATGGGCTCTTATAAAAACGTAGAATGCATAACAATAGGGTTTGTGAAACAAGTTTCAAATTCTATAATCACGTAGATGGCAAAGATAAAGAAACGGTAGCGATGAGACCAATTTGTAGAGCTTATTCAGAATTTAATAAATTTTAACTGCCAACCCCGCCGATAGAATCCAGGATATGCATGGAGTTCTTTAGACTCATTTCATCTGGAGTGGATATCTTGTCCGTTTTATCTCCGTCCAACGAAACCTGAAAAATAATTCTGTGAAACTCATAAAAATTATGAGCTATAATGTTCTAAAGTTTTGTCAATTAAAAAAAAAGTGGAATTCTGGGAAGGAACTTTGAACTCTGTTTATTAAGCATTCAGAAAAATTCTTAGTTCATCAAATTTTATAACTAAATTTATAAAAAAACACACAATATCTCCAAAGTAGTCGTTAAGCCTTTCCATCATCGCTGCGAATGCGTTCTTCAGCATATTATGGTATTCAACTTGGTCTTCACCAATAACTGCTTCATTTGCGTCTAAAGCTTCCGCGCAAACCGATACAAGACACCTGCAAAAAAACATTCCTTCTCATGAAATTCATTTGAAACTCGGATTTCCAATTGCTTAATTTGAATAAGTTTAAATTTTGATTACAAGTCATCCCAGATAATTTGTTATCGCAAAAGATAAAAAAGAAACTTTTATGAACTGTTAACCACATGCATTAAAATACGGCAGCCATCAAATTATATCAAATTATATGAATATAGCCTTCTTGAAAATTTTTAATAATTTAGCTCTTTTGAAAGATTTTGCAGTACCTGAAAGCACCAGCCAATTTTTCAATGCCACTAGAACCATAAAGAATTTTCTGCGCTGGTGTTGTAAATGCTTCTGCATAGGCAAGAGGACCAATATTCACCTTGAAAGAAGCAATGTGTCTCAGTGCTGAATAAAAAATTTTAATATACTCAAAAATTTAAACTAAACAATAGGACTACAAAGTATCACTTCACATAAATAGTAAAAGCTTTTCATAGAAAACTTAATTTTTAATTCCTGAAGAATGAAAAGCTCTTTGTTTCTTAATATAAACTAAAAAGAATGAACCAAAGCTAACAGTAGGTTGTATAGCGCCCTGTAACAACAGTTGCAGTCCTTTGACATCCAAACGTCTCGTTGGCTCGCCAGTAGTTGATGCTGCTTCTAATGTTCGACGCAATTGTTTTGATTTGAAAATCAATTTATCACACGCTAATTCCAATGGTGACAAGAATGTTTCAAATTGATTCACGACACGTGAACGGCGTCTTGTATTCGGGAAACTATCTTCTACTAAAATTTTGCAATCTTTTGACGACTTGAAAAGAAGAAAAAAGCGTAACATAGAAAAGGTTCAACCATCTCAATGTTTTCCAAACAATGTGACAAATAAATGTCTAAATCATACAAAATGGATTAAAAGTGCATAAAATTAAGATTTTAATAGATATAACAGATAGAAAAAAAATTTTTCACCTTTAATAAAAATACGTTTAAGTGCTTGCCGAGCGACTTCTGGTGCATCGGCTGTTATTTTTTCATCAATCACTGACACTTCATAGAAGAAATCTCGTGTGTTTGTATGAGCTTCATAACTACTAACATCATGGCCGTTCATACATGGTTCGACATGAATCATCTGTATATATGCTGTCGATTCTTCTAATTTTGTTTTATCAATCTGTAAGAAATGATTTTTCTGATCTGTTTCTCTTTGACACAAGTCCACTGTTCAGCGCTTGTTCCGTCTTAGTGTAAAGCAGACCTTTAAATGTCCAAAACGTATAACTGAGATGTAGAAATATAGAAGGAAACTTAATACCACATATATCATTTTTCAATTAGAAATAATATTATTTACTGTTAGAAAGTTGTCCAATAGAAATAACTTTGGAAACTATATGAACGATATATTTAAACTTGATGCTATTTAGAATGTAGAATTTTTACATGTGGAAAAGAATCCAGTGGTAAAAAAAATAAAAATTTGCACTTCTCTTGCTGGGATAATTTGTACTCGATCATGGCCAAGAACACAACGGCATGAATCTGTCATGCGCTCACAAGCTTCTGCCAGAGAGGTATGGCCTACTTCACGATAAACCCATTCCGTACAATGTTGTTCTCTGAAAATGAAATTGATGCATAATGCTATCAAAGTACATCCAAACAACATTGTCTGCTGTTTTTAGAAACAAATTGTAGTTCGAATAAAATAGCATGTAAAGTTGAAAATTGAGAGAAGACAGAGATTGGCTCACTTTACTTACAAACATATGAAGAACAATCTTGAACCTGAAACTGTAACCAACTTCTATTACTAACAGCAATGGCTTTGAAAGAAATGGAAATAATTTTAGGCAAATGTACTGAAGCCATACCCAAAATGTTTAGATCCATAGAAAAGTACTTTAAAATATGTTCCAAGATGTCGTTTGCCACTGACTTTCATTTGATCCGCCAAAGCATATGCTTGTTGCAACTCTGCATATATGCTAACCAATGCCTAACAAAAAAAAAATTTCAGTTCTCGAGTAAATGAAATATTCTTGATCAAAAGAGTTAATTGAAATTTCATTTTTTTGAAAACGAAAAATGAATTTACTCGATAATTTTTTTGTTGTTCATACACTGGAATTGCTAAACGGCAAACTGGTCCCACTGCTTCATATCTTTCAGCCATGATTAACGTTTGAACTAACTTTTCTATTTTCGTAGTGAAAGTATCCTGAAAACTACTCGTTAAGAAATTGAAGAACTTCTGGATTTGTTTTCAATTAGATATAAATTCCATAGCTTACCAAACTGAATCCTGCTTGTTGTATAATTTCTGAATCTGTATCATTTACAATTTCTTCCTTGGCTATCGTATCGTTGATGCAGGCCAGTAAATTCCAGTCAATTTTCGCATATCCTAATGAAATAAAATCCATGAGATCCAATATATGTGTACGGTTGTTTAAAAAAAATCTAGATATTTTAAGTATATCGAAAATTTTAAGATAGTAAAAATAAACATTTTGGTTCTGGATGAGTAGGAAAAAGGAACTGGAAGACTATTATTCCATTGCTTTCTAACTTGAATAGTTTGAATAATTTCACTCAGTCATAAAAAAATGAATTATCTATACACAAAAATTATATGTTACACATACCATTAATGGCAAGCTCTCGACCAATGATAGCAATTACATGAGCTTCACAAACAGCTGCTTCAGAAAACCAGCGTTCACGAATATGCATTTCAGCAAGTGTTTCAAACCAGGCACTTCTTAACGCTGCCGATCCTCGATAGCTATCAGCCAGCTGTACATGTAAATCTGCTAATCGAATCTAAAAAAAGTAACTGTGAAACACGTCAACTTTTATGGAAAGAAGAAAAAAACTATTTTAACAAATCAATAAATAAAAGAATGTATTCTGTTGTTTAACTGCATTCTAAACGGTTGAATAGAGTTGCATTCAAACAGTAAAGCACTTGACCCACTTCACAGATAAAAATAGACACCAACTTTTTCTTACGAGGACAAATGAGAAAACTATTCTTTGTGAGCTCTAATAAAAAGTTAGCAGTTGCACATGATGCTTGCACATAATGCTTCTCAAGTAAGCAAACTGCATAAAAAAATACAGGATCATCAACAGCATTCGCAAGAGCACCAGTTGCCGAAAGTACACCTCGTAATTGCTGAATTAATTCCTAAAATAAAAAATATTCAAGAAAGCAATGGAAATAAGACGATCACTTCAGACAAAAAAGAAGTTAAAATTTTATTTTACAATATAATTGACAAAAATTTAAAGTAAAGCTGACAAAAAAGAAACGTACTTCCACTCCTCGTTCAAAATACGTTGGTCTACTTCCAGGCACAGGTTTTACTAATATTTCTAAAATTTGCAATCCCTGTTCGAAACGACTTCTGCTAGCCAGAGGAACTTTCCTTCCAAGCAATCTGAAATAATTTTAATAAAACGTCATCTACAATCTTCAATAAAAATCTGAATCGATTTATTAATATTCAAACATTTCCAATTGAATCAGAAGCATGGATTGAAACATAATTCCACATAACTAAAATGTCAAAAAGATTTGTATGAAACAATGATGCTGCTTTGATCCCTACTCTTCCTAAAACTCAAATTTTCTCAAGTATTTCGAAAATATATAAATATTTTTGCGTGTTTAATATTCCAAAAAACTGGCCTAAATCACATATACTTTTATGATTAAAATATTTAATAGACATGTGCCACCTTGATAATGCGACGCCGGTCTGAGAGCCAGGTCGACCAAGCCTTTGAACATCGAAGATTCTTGGGGATTTTGTTACATTTAAATTGGCCATAGGAAGGCGTACTGTAATTTTGCAAAATTATCGTGTGAATTTTTATAGAAAAGTTAAAACATGGAAAGCACTTCAATATGAAGTCGTTATTTTATGCTTGTAGTCAAATCAACCACTAATAACCGAATCAGAAAAGGTAGAACATAGAACTAATATTGTTGACAGTCACATTATTTTCGAACAATCTTGAAAAGATTTAAAAATAAATGGTTTCCTAATTATTGATTTGACTATCAAAAACTTCATTATGTTTTCAGATCCGATTCCCAATGATACATGGAAAGAACCTGTCTTCGAGGTGCAATCGTAGCCATTTCTAAGAATCAGATGTAACAGTGCTGCAGCGGCACTCTGTATTTTCGGAAGTCGACTATTCATCTGGAGCAAAAGTGACTCGATCAATAGAGCTAAGCCATCCAGAGGACCACTTTGAAAAAGTTGAATGCGGAACTGTAATAACGAAATTTATTTTTTTATTCTAACTTTTGACTTATAAGAATTCACCTTAATATTATTGTCCCTCCTAAATGCTCTAGCTATAATCATGAGTAAAAAAGCTTTTCAAAGTAAGGGTGTATTATATTGCAAGGTAAAAATATATTCTGATTTTTTCTAGAACTGTTACTCCCAAGAATGTATCAAAGCTTTTCAATAAGATAATTCAAGCGAAAGATACCAACAAATATTACGATCACACACATGATGTCAGTGATTTCTAAATCCTTAATAGCCCACTGAAAACTTACCAAACTAACAAAAACAGCAAGCGCGGCGAGGGCGTGATGTCGTACAGCTTCTGGCCAATAATCGTCCAGTAATGATAATAAGAGACGAAGCAACTGATAAAAACTTTTATTTCCTTCGGGATTCGTTGAATTTTTAATAATATTCTTAAACAAAAGATCATTTCAAACAATACTGTAGAAAAAAGAATCTTTGCATCAATAATGTTTTTCTCAGTTAGCTGTGAAAAAAGGCTGAAAGTTAATTTAAGGATCATAATAATACCATTTTCATTTCTATTAATAAGCCCGCATACCATATTCCATCTATAAGTTACAGTAAAATATCAATGTGGAAATTCCTCGTTTAAAAATCAACGAGGAATTTCCACATTGATATTTTACATATGACACAAAAGTACTTCAATAATAATCAAATAATAAAAAGAAGCTTACTGAAACATGTTGAGCTAAAACTTTCACAGTTTCTAAAACAATTAGAGCTACTTCTTGAGTCAGATTTGATTCTTGCAACACACTGAATGGAGTTGCATCCTCTGCGTCAGTTTCAATGCATGCCTTTGTCGACAACGGATCTAAAACAAATGAAAAAGTTGAATTTTCGTCGAGATCGCCTCTTATTTTGCTCTAATCTACTGTGTACAGTGTACTGCAGTCAATGGATAATTGCTTAATATCGATCTTATATAAGCAACAAATATTTAGAAACACTCTAGCTTGACTTGAGAAATAGAATGCTAATAACAGCTAAATTATATCCATAAATAAAAATTAAAAATCAGTTGGTAAGTAAATAAGCGAAATAAAATTAAAAATGAATGAACGTCGACCTGTTCCGAGGGAACTGAAGCCGCTCGATGCTGACGTTCGACTATCTACTGTGGTCGAATTAGTACCCAGTGTTCCAGCGGATGAGCTAGAATGTGGCAGAATTACTAGCGTTTTTCGTGTGCCTCGTATTCTGTAAAAAATTCACAAACTCTATTTTGTTTATCCAATCAACTCTCAAACTATATTTCTAGATTTTTGAGGATGAATTACAGGAAAGTAAGTAAGCAATCAAAGAAGATGTACCTCATAGACAGATTCAATATTCTAAAGAAATACCTTTTTAAATTTTGATACAGATCCCGCTATCACAACATAATAAGCAAAATAGTAATTAGAGATAATAAAACAGTAATTAGCGATTAATAAATATAATAAGTTGTATTTTAGACTTTTCAAAAAAAACAATGAGGACCCACTTATTAGATGTCTGTTGCATAGTCTGATTTCTGCCATGATATCTGAAGAAATCGAGAGCAATACATAATAAATAGATGAAACTGTTAAGAGAACCATTTGATTCATACCAAGATACCATTGCAGCCAAAATTTTATGTGGCAGGAAATGTAATAAATAAAGCGTACACAACATCAAATCCCGTGATTCACCCTGGAAAATTAAAGGCATTAATCAATCGAAAAAAAGTCAGCTTATACTAGTTTTTGGCATAATGCTTATTTGTAAATAAACTGTAATATTTGAATATAAATTTGAACTTCACTTGACAAGACAAAGTATTCTTACAGCATGTAACATTAACACATAAAAAACCGCTAAAAGAGAAAAGAAATACAGAGACAAAAATTAATCTCGTTCATTTAGATATTTATTGATAATCAATTAAGTAATGAAATCTATAAAAATTTGTTAAATTTGATAATCTATCACCATAAAACTATCGAATTAACTCCTTTTTATTTCAATAAATTATAGAATCTACCACTAAAAATGTTTAGAACGCAAATCCCTGTAGTAAGCAAGAAAAAAGAGAAAGAAACATACTCGATCCAGCTTTTCCATTAAACCGGCGATACAAGGTACAGATGAGTTAGAGCTAACTTTTTCAGCATAAAATTGATGCGAGAAACCACTTTTCAGAGAACATCCCATTCTAGATAACAATCCATGTGATGGTAAGGATAAAGATCGACCTGAATGTGAAACTGAGTAGCTTGATGAGAGTGTGTAAGGAAATGCAGAAAAATTGGTGTTTTTTTTTCACAAATCTTATATCCTTCTCAAACTTATCAGTACTATCTACCGCTGTTTCACAAAGAGTTTGAAATAGAAAGATTAAATATGCATCTTAAAATAAAGCGAAGGATTTGAAAACATTAAATGAAAATTTTAAATCAAGTGTTTTTGCCAACAGCAGTAATACCGGTAGGTGACAAGCTTTGTGGATCCGTTTTAGCAGCCGATTCAAATTCTGCCACATTATCAAGTACTAAACTGATTAATGGAGAATACAATGTAGCAATATAACTTTGAGCATTCTGAAAAAATATGTATTGTTCAGTGCTTGAAAAAATGTAATTTAATTCAATCATGCACAGTTGTTAAAAATTATTGAAAAACTCGAAATTTTAGTCACTTCATTTTGACTAAGTCATTACTTCTTAATGTGTATTAAGGCCATTTATTTTGTCTCGCATTGCTTATTATTCAATGAGAGTTCATGATAATTTTAGATGTGAAACAAAGTCGTATATTTCTTAATTTTCTTTTCGTGCTAAGATAAAAAACATGAGGAGAAAAATAATAAAGAAAATTGATTCAAAATACGTATAATAATTTAGCTGAAGTAAATTTTTAAACTAAAAACTAACAAAATTTACTTACAGTATCCATATACCGTTTATCACTAGCATGCTTTGCAAACAAATTTCTCAACAACGCAACTACTTTTCGTCGATAATCACGCGGTTCCCGAAGTGATGCATCCACTTCTTGATAGAGCAAACCAACTGGAAAGTGATGTTTGCAATAAGAAGCAGAAAGGATGAATTCGTCTGCACACCGGCTATCTGCAAATTAATTAAAAAATATATTACTAAACTGTTACGTGCAAAAAAACTAAGAAAAAGCGTCTGCAATAAAAAAATGATCATACCTAAAATTTTTGTATGCATTATTATTTTAGTGCGATAGTTTTTGAATTTTGGTAAATTTTGAACCACAATTTTAAATATGACCCGAAATAGAACTAGAAACATTATCCGATAAGATTCATTTTTCAGCTGTTTGAAAATTGAAAAATCTCCATACGGATTCTATCGGATAATTTTTCTAGTTCTGTTTCAGGTCATATTTAAAATTACATTTTTTCTAGATTTTTGCAAAAGAACTATAAGAAAATATAGGAATATGCTAGCAGTTAAAAAAAGATGCACCTCACAGACAGATTCAATATTCTAGAGAAATACCTTTTTA